TACCCAGTTTAAATCGACGACTTCATTGTATAAATATATCACATGCTTATGAAACGCCATCTTATATAATTCCATTTGACAAGGTCTTCGTCTTTTGGTAAATAAATCTTTAACAATATATTGATATGCTTTCTTTCAGTGTATAGAATATTGTTAATGCGCTTAGCGCGTGGGTTTCATTCAGATGGCCATACATCACAACTTGCTGCAGTAAAATATGGTCAAAACAACTATTAAAAATAACAAAACTTTACAGCCGCCCAGTCAAAAGCTTTGCCCACTTACCGAGCGCAAAACAATAACAACGCCAAGCAAAATAGCAATAACTTGCTATGGAATCGTTGTGGGAGGCAGCAAGAATAGATTCAAGATCACTGCCAGCGTCGTTACTACGACACTCGATTGCAAGAGAAATGATTATTCAGCGGCCACAAACAGTTCTTCAAAGCAGAACCACGGCGCGGTAGAGAAAGCAGCAGCGACAGCCGCAGTCGCTGCAGAAGATAAAATAGTCTATATGGAATATAAAAATATAAACAAACACCGATTTGCTATTTTGAAACATGAAACAGAAATGGCAGTGGCTGAGGCAGGAAATAGTGAGACGTAACGAATTGTAGGTACCTTACATGGAAAACATCACATTATTTTGAGATGAAATGGGAAAAAATTGAGTTGAAATTGGACATTTTCATTAAGCTATTGAACATAATATAAATGTATTCAAGTGAAGAAAATTTTCAATATGTTAATTACAAAGAAAATCCGAAACAACGACTCCAATACTATTTTGATAGGATGTGATACCTGACAATTTTATTGGAAACGTCTTTAATTGTGTCCAAATATTCATTCTAATTTGTGAACTTTCTTCTTATGCTAAATATAAACGGATGATTGAAAACGGTACTTAAAACTTGGAAATGTGTCCTTACGGATGTACGCGAAAAAAAACTGTCGAACTGTGTACTTTTATTTACGCAGTAAAATGGCGATCCGATTACCAATACGTTTGCCCATAAAAACAATGAAAATGTTACAATATATCTTTTTTGCAGACCAAGCTAAACCTTTAAAGGATTTCAATTGAGGACAAGCTTTCAAAGATGACAAACTTTACTTTTTAATTTTGCCAACACACGCTGCAACTAAAAAAATGTATTTTTCAACAATTTTAATATTTGTTTTTTGGAAGCACAGTTTTCTCTAAAATTGCGATCCATAAAATGATTAAAAGGCTCTCATATACAAAGTTGGTCCATCCAACAGTTCCAAATCGACTTATTCTCTACAGAGATTATTGACGTCACTCTCTTAAATCGAAACCAGTAAGGAAAGGACAAACGACGAGCTGGTCTGACTATATAAAAAAAGCGTTCATATTGGGAATTTATTTGTTAGAATTCATTTTTATACCTTCATTCTATTAAATTTGTCTTTCCGTTTGTAACTCCTCGAAATATTTATAATAGACCTTACAGAGTATATATATATATATATATATATATATATATATATATATATATATATATATATATATATATATATTTTCTGGATCAGCGTAAAATTCTAAGACGATCTAGCGATGTCCGTCTGTCTGTTGTAATCACGCTATAATTCGAACGAATTGAGATAGAAGGCTAACATTTTGCATACATGCATAGTTTATCAGTTGGCAGGTTAAGTTCCTAAATAGGTCATATCCACGTTTTCGTGTAGCCCCCATATAACGGTATCTCCCGATGTTCGGCATTTTCATGATTTTAGCGACATTATTAACCGGAATTATTTAAAATTTCACCGGAATCATTTCAAATTTCGTATTGAAAGATCTTAATGGTACTACAACTTATGGCAAAACAAAATCGTATGTGGGTCCACGTCTTCGTACAGCCCCCATATGACAGTACCTCCCGATACTCCGTATTTTCATGATTTATGCGACATTGTTCACCGTAATTGTAACAAATTTGGCATTTGAAGTTCGTAATGACAAAAAAATTTCGTATGCAGGTCCACGTCTTCGTATAGTCCCCATATAACGGTTTTAACTTTTTTACTAGTTATTTTTAATGTTGTATGAAGATCTCCGAAAAAAACTACCCATATTCGAGTTAAAAGTGAAACCCGCTCGAAGCTGAGCGGGAGCACTTTTAGAAGTAGAAAAAAAGAGCAAACTCTTAAATTTCTTCGAAAATGTACAGATTCTACTCTTACCAAGCATGCTTTAAGATTTTGTCAATTGTATTTCTATGTATGTATATTTTCCCAAATCACAATAGCAAACGAAAAACGTTGAAGCGTATAGTCGCTAATTGGGTACCAACAAGGCCTATGAAAGTGTTGTTGCTTTTGTCCACAAAATCCACAAGGCCTTTGCTTCTGCTGTTTTTTTTTTTTTCTTTGATTTTCACCCCCTCTCCCACAGCAATGTTATATTTTTCCACTCCATTTCACGGCGACAATCCGGCTCCCAATCAAATTTTTTAAACAGAGTGAATATTAATTTTCTTATGCAACCGTACTCTTCGAGAAATTCTGATCGAGAGCGAGCAAGTCTCTCCCGAGAAAAAAACGAGCAAATCTGTGCTCTGGTTGTATGTGACCTCTTGTACCAAATATCATTGCTTTAGAGTGCATGTTACGACCTTTAGAGGGCTTACATGTACAATGGGATGAAACATATTATCGGAGCTATGGCCATATCTGAACCGATTTGATCCAACCTTGACTGAGTTTATTTTAGCTATAACCGAACCCAACCTAATTGAAGAATTGTAGTATAGCTGGTGTAACAATTAAATCAAGTCAGATAGAAATATTAATGGTTGCTGCACCTACTTCTGATTCAATCTCGAAAAAATATATGAGAGCTTAAGCTATATCTGAAACGATTTTCTCCGAATTTGATATTCTTTTTCTAAAGTATTTTGGCTTATTTTATATGATTGGTACCCAATAAAGTTGGGATCGGGCGAAGTTATATGGGAACTGTGTTAAAATCTGGACCGTTCTTAAGAAAATTTGAAGATCGTCAAAATAAACGATGGGTCTATTTCGTTTCCTTTGGCGTGCTACAAACATATTACCCTGGTGGTGTAGGGTAAAATCACATGAATCAAACATTTCGTACAACCCCGCCACTTATAACAGAACCTTTCGACGTGTTTTACTCCAAATTAACCTATTATATTAAAAAGCCCGACATACTTTTCTTAATATTTGTCTAATGTTTTGTATAGTTAGCTTATGATTCTCGGGTAATTTGGGTTATAGAGGATAAAAATCGTCCTAGGAATTTTATCAGTAGTTGGTGATTTTCTGAATCATTATCTGTCCTCCGACTAATAGAATCTTTAGCTGGAAATGCTTTTTTTTAAACTGACTTACATTAATATGGGTGGCCGGCAATGCTTTTACACACAGGAGTTTTAGCTAGCTGTTCCGCAAAAGCTTCGGCTCGTTGTAACCGTATTACAGCTCAAACATTGGTGGTAAATTAGAAGTAGTCATAAACCTTAGTGCTAGCTAGTATACATAGTTTCCTAGCCAATAGTTTCCAATAGACGACCCAAGCAGCTAAACCTGAACATACCCACAGCTAATGAGTCCCAAATAATCGGCGAAGGCCTAGCCATCACCTCCATAGCATACTACACACATTTGTTGAACTCAAATCCCGATCCATCTTAGAAGGCCTGGACAGTGACTTCTAAACTTATCACCCGTTAGCTGCAGAACCCAAGCAACCCAAGTCGATCTGAATATGTTCTCCCAAGTATCTCTACAGTAAATTGCCATCCCATAATTATTATATCACGAGTCTCCAATCCATCTCCGAAGACATGATTATCAACGTATACCACATTATCTTCCAGCAGATTCATTACCTCACATCATATACGGGTCGATCTCACGGCACTTGAACAAAAATACAGTGCGATCTCTACCACATGCGCATCGAGGCCACCGTTAGCGTTAGTTCTCGAGTGTTGTAAGTTCCTTTAACCATTATAGACATCGTATTGTACGCGAACACAGTTATTACAACGCTGAATTTGCGATGCGTTCTAGTGACGTTGACGAAGATCGCAACTTCAATCCTTCCATCAAGCAAACAAAATATGAAATGTGGTGAAATTAAATACAAATTCAACTCTAGTGTTTTAAAAATTAAGTGAATGTTTTTTTTCGTATTTATTGACTCTTGGAAAGTCTATATAAGTTCGGTCAATAAGCTCATCTGACTACTATGTTTGCAGCCAAAAGAAAATCGATTCATAATAGTGAAAAACTACTGAGTTTACAGCCAAATTTTTGTAAAAATTAGTCCTATATAGGACTTGGACCATTGTATGGGCAATTAATAAAAGGTTACCTCATTTCAGATAATAACTAATAATAATAATTCTCCCCTCTGCATTTTCTATAATTTGCATTCTCAAATTTAAATTCATTTAAAATAAAAACAATGTTATATTACGTTATAAACGCAAACGTAAATAGGTCTGAAACCGAATTCTTAGGAAAAAAAAAATATATATATATATAAATAAAAATGCGAAGAACGGTTGTGAGCGTCGTCTAAAATCAGAGCTTTTGTGTTTTCTATTAAACAACGAATACCCAAACAATCGATGTTACCAAAAAAGTATTTGTTTGTCACGTAAATCAGTTAAAGTGCATTTGTCTTCGAATTCATTCATTTCGAATGGTAGTTCAGATACGCATTTATTTATATTTCCCTCAATTCAATTCTGATTCATGCAATTTACGAATCTTACGAGGAATTTAACAGCAAATAGCCAAGGGTGATTTTGTACTCCGACAAATCAGACGAGAAACCAAATGTAACGACTACACGAAGTGTAGGTGCTCTAAAGCACAGCAGATGGAATGAAATCTTCTGATTTTAGTTGAAATTTGTGAGCGAAACGGAACAGTTTGCTTGTGTGACATTTCCATATCCGATTCCGGTAATGAGATTCTAATCAAGAAAAAATATCATGTCGTGACCAGATATATAGATAATTGTCAATGTCCATCAGATGACAATGCGTGATCATTCATAATTTTATCGTTTCGAAATATTTGAGTGACAAAAGAAGAAAATTAAAAAGCAATGCCAAAAAATCAATTTCAGTTGCATTAAATAAAAAGAGAAGAAAAATCGAAAGTTTAAACAAATGCATAACTTACGTCATATTCTATCTATTTTTGTTTATGTTTTTTTTTTCAGTGCCACCGTGCGAATGAACGAACGTATGAGCAAGTGATAGACAATTAGTGATCATTCTTAAATTATGCCAAAATAGAAAAACAACAACAAATAATAAAGTGCAAAAAATAAAACCAACGCCGCAAAATAATAAACAAATATTCAACATGGGATTCGAAACATCAACACTGAAGCACATCCTGCTGCTGCTGAATTTTGTTTTTGCAGTAAGTTCTGTGAATCATTAATTCATCGTCAGTTGTTGCATTAATCATTTCATGATAATCGACATCGTCACTGCACCATAGAAAGCGTAGAGAAAGAACTTTTTCAATACATCTAAACCACAATTGAAGAAAAATATGTAAATTGGTATACTTTATGATTTTTTTTTAATATATAAACATTTTTGGTATTGGAATGCGATTTATTTGCAGATGATATGAGAATATGTATATCATCGAATAAACAATATTTTAGATCATAAATACTTAAGCCAAATATAGCATTTACCATATTTAGAAAGTTGCCTATAGTAGCAGCATTTTATGAGAGTTTGATTATGTCAGAATTTCTATATAATTTTACATATCGCTCAATAGTAAAATTCAGTTTCGAGAAAAGCGTATTTAATGCTGTTGATTGAAATTTGACTTCCCGAATTAAAACAAGTAAGGAAAGCTCAAAAGTCGGTCGGGGCCGACTATATGATATCCTACACCACTATGCATATTTAGTAGAGCTCTCGTATAAGAAAGGTTTATATTGGACATTTCTGAGCTCTATGAGATATCTGGTAAAAATTATGATTATGGTAGAGTGCATATTCTGAAAGTTGGAGATTTAAACACCAAATCGGATGAAAAATATATATGGGAGCATATTTGAAATTCTTGCTTCTATGCTAAATTTGGTTGAAGTGCGAAAATCCATTTGGACTAATATTAGCCATTTGGTGCACAATAAACCTGAAATCGGATAATGATATGGGAACTATATCCAAATCTGAACCGATCTTGACAAAATTTGAATCATGCTGGGCTGAATCTAATATCTGATACTAAATATCATTTTTGAGGGGTGTATATTACGAATGTGAGGGACCTAAACACCAAATCGGATGAAACATATGTATGGGAGCTACAGCTATACCTGAACCGATTTCCACCAAATTGAAAGTACTTATTTCTATACTAAATTCAGTCGGAAGTGCCAAAATTCACACCATTTGAACTGATATCACCCATTTGGTGCACAAGAATCCTAAAATCGGATGAAGATATATAGGGGAGCTATATCCAAATCTGTATCTGATATCTGGTGCTAAATATCAGTCTTGTGGAGTGCATATGACGAATTTAAGGGACTTAAACACCAACATTGGATGGAACATATATATGAGAGCTATAGCTATATCTGAACCGATTTTCGCCAAATTTAAAGCACATGATTGTAGGCTAAATTCGGTCGGATATAGCAAAATTCACAACATTTGAAGTGATACTAGTCAATTGGTGCAAAAGAATCCTAAAATCGGATGAAGATATATATTGGAGCTATATCTTAATTTGGACCGATTTTCACCAATTTCATAGGGTTCGTCCTTGAGCCAAACAAATGTTATTTAGAAAATTTCGTCTCAATACAAAAATACATGGACAGACGGACGGACGGACATGCTTAAATCTACTCAAAATGTGATTCCATGCTGATCACCAAAAGGAACTATGGGTCTATCTCGTTTCCTTCTACATGTTGCAAAAAAATGCACAAAGACATAATACCCTTACCACTATGTGCTGTAAGGTATAAATATTGTTACACCAAAAGTATTTGCAGGGGTCACCGGATATCAGTGCTAAATTTCGGTGCAAGATCATACATGGTTTGAAGTAAACATAAACTCGATATACTCTTTTGTTGATTTATGTCAAACTCCAAGTAAAAGAGCTTTATCTTCTCTCATATCTACAAACATCAATATGAATATTCTAGGAAAAGCAGAAATTGCTTACCCAAAAAACCCATTCTCTGAGTTATACCACTCTTCGAACAAATGAGCGACAAGTGTATAGTATCATGTGTCAAATAAAAAAGGTTTATAAAATTTAACTTTCAATCTTCAAGTAATTCTAGATAAATTGAAGGGTTTTTATATATGTTTTAACTTTTTTTTAACTTCAGCCATATGATCGAGTTTTTTATACCCTCCCCCATGGTATGGAGGGTATATTAAGTTTATCATTCCGTTTGTAACACCTGGAAATATACATTTTAGACCCCACAAAGTACATATATTCTTCATCGGCATAAAATTCTATGTCGATTTAGCGATGTCCGTCCGTCTGTGGAAATCAAGCTGGCTTCCGACAAAATGAAGTAGGTTGAAAATATTTTACTCAAATGTGTATTATGTCTGCAGGGCTTTTGGTATTGAAAATAGTAGGTCATGTAGGTCCATGTTTTGGTACAGCCCCCATATAATGGTACCTCCCTTTTTTCGGTATTTTAGTGATTTAAATGACATTATTCACCGGAATCGTTTCACATTTGGTATTTGCAGTGTGAGAGAAACTTGTGTGTGCAGGTCCACGTTTTCGAATAGCCCTCATATAACGGTACCTCCCGATATTAGGCATTTTGATATTTCGGGTACAGTTTACTCTCACTCTTTATCGAGCAAAACGTGCTCCCTGTTATTCGAGCGACGTTGATTATTCGATTTGAGTGTGAAACTCTCACGTATGTAAAAAGTACTATGTTCTCTTATAAGTTTTATTAGTGTCACATGTATAGAAAAGGGTGTTTAGGTAAAAAATTGTACAAGTAGTACAATATAGTGCTATATTACATGTTCTGGAACATAAAACATTATGTCTTCCATCCAGTTTCATATGTATTTCAATTTAAAACCGCAATATGCATTACCTTAAAGACTGTGACACAAATTGGAACTCAGTATCTGGGTGTGAGAATTTCTTTTTGGGATTAATAACCCTTTTTAAGAATTAATAACCTTCGTTGAGAAAAAATAAACCACAATCGTTACATCACAGCTTGGGAGTAATATTTTACTGGAATGTTTACTCCCTACATAACTCATATATAATGTGCACTGTATTATATTCGGCTTAAAAAGGTCGTACAGATTAAATGAATGAGGCAAGTAAAAAAGCAGTTTTGGCACATTAGGAACAAAGGGCTTTATTGTGAGAGAAATCAGAGTCGCTGGGAGAACGGAGAAAACATATAAAAAAAATCAAATAATAGTGTGTTTATACCCTAGGCCACACTGTGGTACAGGATATTGTGCCTTTGTGCATTTGTTTATAACATGCAGAAGAAAACCGAAATAGACAAATAGTTACTTTTGATTATCCTCATAGAATCACATTTTGAGTCGGCTTTTGTATGTCCGTCCGTCTGTGCAGTATTTTTGTAAACAAAGTACAGGTCACATTTATTGTCCCAAATATTTTTTTTGGCCCAAGGACGAAATTGGTTATAATCGGTGATAATCGGATCAGTTTTGGATATAGCTCACATATACAGGGCGCAATATCAGTCAGAATTCAAAAGTTTGTCTGGCAATCGTGGACAATAGACAATATCGGTTCAGATTTAGATATAGCTTCCATGTATAGTTTCGTCCGACTTTAATATTCGTCTAAATGGAATGGATTTCGGCACATCTAAGGGAATTCAGCCCAGAAACACGTATTTCAAATCGGGTGGGAACCGGTTTAGATACGGCTATAGCTCCCAGATATATATGTTTCATACGATTTGGGGTTTATCTCCCTCACATGTTAAACTCCTTATCCATATTACGAATAGCATTTCACAACAATTATATTATGTAGATACAACTCAGAAATATCTTTGCTAAATTCTATGGAGATCGGTTTGGATTTTGGATATAGTTTCCATATATATCCTCAAATGTGTAAAATCTACTCAAATTGAGTGGGTTTTGCCATATATACCCAAATTTATACTGGAAGTAAATTCGACTTTAGTGAAACTCTTCTCGAAGTCATGTCATGCACGCTATTGCAATGTTATTTGGTACGAGAGGTACAAATGCCTCCGTCAAACCTTTCATATATTAGTTCCTTCTGATTCCAAAATATAACTGCTCTAAAATCATAATGCCAATTGGTATGATAAACTTTATATAATTCCCTAATATGAACGATTATGTTACGGGAAGCTCTACTAAACATGCATAGTGATGTTAGGTATCATCTAATATCATCTAATCATCATCCCCGCCTGACTTTTGACCTTTCCTTACTGGTTTTATTTCGGGTTTACAAAAGTAAATGCCCCTTGTTTTGTAATTTCTTAAGCTCGGCATGATTTCTCTGTTTTTTAAACGAAATGTTTATGAGTGGCAAGAGTTATTTCTCATCCGGTGAGTCAAAATCACGCTAAAAATCGCCCCTCACAAATATAAAAAATTCAATAAATCCTTCGATAAGAAAATCGGTTTTTACATATATTGAGTAAATTTAGTAATAATATGATTGTTTAACATTATCCATCCTAATATACAATAACTCGTAAATTATACTTTACATATCGGCATGGGTGAATTTTATAAATTGATCAGCCTTTATGGATATACATGTTTTTATTATCCTAATATATTTATAATATTCGCTAAAAAATTTTAATTTATTGAACTTTTGAGTTTTTTTTAAATCATTATAATTAGATAAGGTATCACTAATAGGGAGTAACACTTCATATTATAATAAAGAAATAGATTTTCGCAATATAGGTATACAGCACCAAGCTTGAAAAGGAAAGAAAATAATAAGTAAGGACTACAACGCTACAATTTACGGCAAAGTTTCAGCAGATCTTAAACCCTTTTGACTAGTGTGAAGGTGACACCTAGAAACATTCCCACATCTGCTACATAATAAAAGTAAATGTTGAACCAACTTGCATCTCTTTTCAAATAATCATCATATATCTGGGATCAATATTTTCTAAAAACATAGGAACTCTAAAAAAGCAGATGTCCGTAGTACATCAAATACCTTATTCCCTCTTTTGGAAAGAACAGAAATTTCACATTCATGTATTTGTGATTCTTATAATTTTGGTATTTTTTTACACAAAATGTGGCCCATTTCACCAGCTAAATATTATCCGATGACCATCATAAATTCAGCCTTCAGGACGCTGAATAGCCTCATAAACTAATTCCATGACTAATGGTCGTTTGTTGAAAACAGTAGGACAATTTTTAGATTTTTGATCTATTTTAAACACTGGTCTATTAATTGTTTAACCAACATCCCCTTCTTTGACATATGAGATGCATATATTTTGCTAAATTTAACATTGTAGCCGTTAGAATTTACCTTTTCGTGTATTTATGATTTCGCTGGAATAAAAAATATTCGCGGTTTAATGGAAGATAATTTATACTTATAAATAAAAGTTATTGTCTGTTTTACCCGCTAAATATTTTCCAATGACCAAATAAAATGGTAGGGCCGATTGGTCTCTAATTGGGACCTGCAGAGCAACTAGAAATAGTTTTTGGTCCATTAAAATCATCTCCCCCATATATATTTTCCCATGTATTGGACCAACATTTCGAGATGTTAAATAATTTTTGACCCAATCAAACCTATAATACCCCAAAAACACATAGGGTATAATAATAGGGTATCAGGCTAAAAACTCCTTGCTTTCGGAAATATCATTATAATGAGTTATTTAATCATCGACTTCTTGTTCAACATTTCACATCATCATAATAAACAAAAAATATTTTATTATAATTTCAGGTTCTGGGCTTAATTTTATTTGGATTTGGAATATTTGTACTGGTCAATGCACCGGAACATAGAACCGTTGTACATGGCGAGGAGACAACGGTGGATATCGGCGAAAATCTCGCTGGTGGTTTGATCATAGCTTTGGGAGTTGCCATTCTTTTCATTTCCATATTCGGTTGTCTGGCGGCCATTCATGAATCCAAACGCAGGCTACTTATTGTAAGCGATGGGATTTTGAAATGTTTAAAACTTTTACCATTTAAATATTTTATTATTCATTTTGCAGTTCATTGTCATATTGTGTGCCATGATTCTGATTCAACTTTTATTGTCCAGCATGGCTTCTCAGGGCACGCGAGATGGCTTGGCCGGAAGTGTGGAAAAAGGTTTTAAAGATTTGTGGGAAGAAGAGTTGAAAGAACCGGGCGCACTGGCCTATTACGAGAAATGGGTAAGGTAGACATTTACCATGGTACCTAAGTCGTTGAAATTGTTTCCTTTTTTCAGCTGCATTGCTGTGGTGTTAATGGAACGGACGACTATGTTGCCATAAAACACGATATTCCAAAGACTTGTTGTGAAGATGGCCACTGTACAAAGGCAGGAGACTATTTCACTGAGGGCTGTGAAGCCCAGTTCAACAAGTATTTGGCCAGCAAAATGTTAACTTTTAACATTGTCAATTGCCTACTTATTATGGCAGAGGTAAAATATTTAACAATTGTTTGGTTTTGTAATAATTGTTCATTTGGGGTGGATCTCTTTTTCAGATTGCAGCTGCAGTTTTTGGTTGGCTACTCTTCAGCAACTTGAAGAATGAAAGTCGACGCTCGAATCTAACATGGATTTAAATCGATATTTTCTATTTATATGAATTGTTGTGAACTGTTGTATTATTTTAACCAATATTTTATAATAGATAATATAGATATACGTACGAATGTAATAATCCTTACAAAAACTTAGCAAATGTTTGCTAACACTTGAGTAAAGCCTAATTTGGTGGAATATATGTAAACTTATTTTGAAAGCCATCGTTGTTCTCAAGCCATAAAAATCGGCAAATGAAAAAAATTGGCTAAAACACATTAATGTCATAAAGAATGATGTGGAATAATCGACACCTGAACGAGATATCTACAATCCTAAGAAAATTAAATATTTATCTTTACTGGAGAACGCTATATGTTTGGGGTATTAGAAGTTTGCTTGGGCCAAAAATTATGTAAAACCTCGAAATATTGGTTCCCGACATAGGAAACTATATATGGATCTTCCTATCTCGCCGAGCTAAGTATATGTATGAGTCCATGTTGATTTGTAATCACGCTACAAGTCGCAATTATGGCCCGATTCCCACGAAATTGAAAATGGAGGTGGGATTAGGGTCAGAATAGAAGTCTATTATATTTCGAGCTGATCGCAAAATGTTTGGGCGTTGAAATGTACCAAAAATTGAAAAAATCTTGATTTTGCTGTTGTTCTACTGGCCTGGGGAGAAGACTACCCAATTCGGAGGTCATCGGACAATGTTTAGTTTAGTATAATAAACTATAACATTTATGTAAAAAACTACGAATATTTCCACTAACCCGCAAATATTTGTAATCCCGGCGAAATCACAAATACAAGAAAAGGTCACTTCTGACCTTTACACTGGTGCTGATAGCGATGATATTGGATATATAGCAAAATAGTAACAATCTATATGTAAAAGAAATTGATGTTAGTTACATCTGGGCACGACTCTATGACGTTATTCCAAAAACGATTGTGGGGTATCACATGATCGGCCCCGCACGACAATAGCCTTTGCTTACTTGTTTTAATATGTTAAGTGACTGTTACATCGCTCGTAACCGGATTCAATGTTATTCTCCAAGATTCGTGGGTGTAGCTCCAAGTTAAATTTTATTTCCCAATTTGCTGCTGATTTCGACTTGTTTTTTTTCATAAGAATTAAAAAAAAACATATCCCTCTTTTTAGTTAAGTAAGAATCGCATATTCAAAACAAACATGTAATACGCATTTTTTTAAAAACATTTTTACAGGTACTCCAAATTTTAGCGTCATCATATCCACGGATCAAGTTGACGGGTATGGACGCAAAGTGTCCGGCTGGGCCGAACTTTGTATAACATCTAACATTAAAAGGAAATTTCAAATTAAAAAAAATCGTTGAAAAATACTGGTAAAATCATAAAAATACCCTATATTCGGTATTTTTATGATTTTACCAGTATTTTTCAACGAGGCCTATACGAAGACATAGACCTGTACATGCAATTTTTGTCATATGTCATTACAATATTCTAAAACGCAATATACGATACTTGAAATAATTTAATCGATTCAGATATGCCTATAGCTCCCGTATATATTGTTCATCCGATTTGTTATTTTTGTCCTCCGCAGCCACAACATGCACGCTGTAACAACGATATTTGGGGAATTATATCAAATACGGCACAGAAATAACTTTGCTAAATTTTATCGAGATCGGGTCAAATTTGGATATAGCTCCCATATATATCTTCGTCCGATTTGTCTTTTATCGTGCACCAAACGTGTATTATCATCCCAAATGTAATGGAATGTGGCACTTACTACCAAATTGAAAATAGTACGTCAAATTTGGTGAAGATCGGTTGAGATATAGCTATAGCTCCCATATATACTGTTCATCCGATTTGTCATATTTGTTACCCACAGCCGTAATATGCACTCCGTAACAACGACATTCAGGGAAATATATCAAATACAGCTCAGAAATATCTTTGTCAAATTTTATCGATTTGGATATAGCTCCCATATACATTTTTATCCGATTTCAAATTAATTGTGCACAAAATGGGCAATACAAGTCCGAATTTAAAAGATACAAATGCTTCGGTATATTTAGTCCTTTGAACTTTAAATTGTAATTATAATCATAGCGTGTATTATTGAATTCTCCCAAAAAAAAAAAAACTTTTAATTGTTGTGAGCAGCTCTACTAAATTAGCAAAGTGGTGTAGGGTATCATAAAGTCGGCCCGCCCGACTTTAAGACTTTCTTTACTGGTTTCTGTCCTATATTCCTACCCGGAGTCCAGTGGTAAGTCCATTTATATTATACGTTATATAAATTTGCTTTTTTATATCTTTCTTTTCGGAAACGAATTTATCAAATTAGCTTCTATAAAATTTGTTTTCAATCATCAGTAACATTTGTATATGACTTTACTTAAAAAACAAGGAAAAAGACATTAAATTCGGCCGGGCCAAACTTTTAATACCCTCCACCTTAGGGTAAAGGAAACATTAGAGCCCATTATGACCCACATATACCAACTTTTAGACAAATTCATGGGAAAATGTGCCAAAAATCATCAAAATACCGAATATCGGGAAATACGGCTATATGGGGCTATACAAAAACGTGGATCTATACATACAGTGTTTCGCCAAAAGAGCTAGAACCCATTAAGACCAACAAATACCAATTTCTAAACAAATTCGTGAAAAAATGTGTCAAAAATCATCAAAATACCGAATATCGGGAGGTACCGTTATATGGGGACTATACCAAAACATGGACCTATACATACAATGTTCCGCCACACGAACTAGGATCCATTATGACCTGCAATAACCAATTTTAGACAAATCAGTGAAAAAATGTGGCAAAAACCATCAAAATACCCAATATCGGGAGGTACCGTTATATAGGGGCTAAACCAAATCGTAGACCCATACATGCAATGTTTTGCCACCGGAGCTGGAACCCATTGTGACCAACAAATACCAATTTTTAGACAAATCCATGAAAAAATGTGGCAAAAATAATCAAAATGCCGAATATCGGGAGGTACCTTTATATGGGGGCTATACCAAAGCGTGGACCTATACATGCAACGTCTCGCCACACGATCTGGGACCCTTTATGACCTACAAATACCAATTTTTAGACAAATCCATGAAAAAATGTGGCAAAAACCATCAAATCGCCGCAATCGGGAGGTACCGTTATATAGGGGCTAAACCAAATCGTAGACCCATATATGCAATGTTTCGCCACCGGAGCTGGAACCCATTGCGACCAACAAATACCAATTTTTAGACAAATCCGTGAAAAATGTGGCATAAATCATCAAAATACCAAATGTCAGGAAGTGCCGTTATATGGGGACTATACCAAAACGAGGACCGATATATCTCATTTTCAATACCAACCATCCTAGACACAATACAAATTGCTCTGCTAAATTTTGGCGCTCTACGTCAAATAATGTGGGCTGTATCGTGATTTCAACAGACAGACGGACAGACAGACAGACGGACAGACAGACAGACGGACAGACAGACGGACATCGTTAAATCGACTTAGAATTTTATGTTGATTATGAATATATATACTTTATGGGGTCTACGATGAATATTTAAGGTGGAGGGTATAATAACTACCAATCATTCCCCAGCAAAATATTCATAACAAATCGGCTAGCACGAAATAGGGAGTTGTGTTATGGACTTTAATATTTACTTAAATAACAACTTTTATTGCCCAAAATAAACCAGGAAAAATCTGGTGGTCGCATGTGCTATCTTCAGCATTTCTGGTAATAATTACCACATACCCTCTGCATTTTCAGTATCCTAAATATAATGACACGACATTACCTCAGCTTTATCAATGCATATTAACGTGCGGGACGATTACTAACAAATTTGACGAAAGCTTTTGTACTCCTTGGAATGGTGGCTAGGATTGGTGGCTCTTTCCGAAACCTAGGTATTCCCTGTCTTACCCCCTGGTAAACATTTCCATCGTTCTCCACTAATAAACAAACGTTGTTTTTATAAAAACAACAATAATTGGAGCGATAGATATATGGGAATCGAGTTTCACACAATTGATGACACATATATATGAGAGTGTTTGGGTCTAGGCTGATTTCGGTGGTATCTCAAACCTGAAAACGGATAAAGATGTATGTATAGGGGTGGTATATCCAAATCTGAACCGATATTGATAAAATTTGAGAGAGGTAATTCTGATATCTGGTACCAAATACCATTGTCGTGGGGTGCGTATTACGAATGTGAGGGCCTTAAACACCAAATCGAACGAAATATATATACGGCAGCATTATCTATATCTGTTAAAAATATTACACATATAGCGCACAATATTCCAGTGAAAGCTCATTATATTGTTTACAAGCGTACAAAAGCATTTTGTTCAGAATTTTCCAAAAAACAAAAGTTATTCGTGATAGAATTCAAGCGTGAGTGAGATTTCTTTATATTTGGCTGGAAAACCACAAGTGGCTAATGTTAGAGCACTTCAGGATTTAAATGTAAATAAATCAGTTGTGTCTCGTGCCATCGCTCGTTACCGTGATACTGGAAGCATGGCCCGTCGTCGGCGCAGTGGCCGAAAAATGGCTCGTGATCTGAACATATTGCAATATTCCATTCGGCAAATTTTGAAAAATAAGCTCGGGGCAAAGCTATTGAAATTCCAAAAAGTGCAACTTACACCGCAACGGAAAGAAAATAGACTCAAATGAGCTGAAGAGTTGCTCGCTTGGCCGAAAGTGGTGACCTGCCGAATTTGGTTTTCTCCAATGAGAAAACATTCGTTCTCCAGCAGTTTGTAATCAAACAAAACGATCGTGTTTATTTGCCAAAGAGGTCAGCTGAAAATGTGCCACTTCGGTTGGCCACCAAAATTTGAGCGATGGACATGATGATGGTGTGGGCCGCCATAACAGCCGAAGGTCGCTCTCCGCTCGTATTATTCGAAATCTAACGACGATATATACAGGAACTACATATAAATATTGGCTGATTATCGGACGGACTGGCATGCATAAATCGACCCAAGATGTGAATCAATGAACATCATCAAAAGAAACTATGGATTTGTTTCATTTTCTTCTGCATTGTGGTGTAGGGTATACAATCGGGGTTAGGAAGCTGTTGTGTAAGTAATTACTAGTGCCAGCATGTGCCTTATTAACCCATTTGCTAGGAAGTAATTATTTTATCTACTTTTAGTGGTACAAAACAATTACTTATTTCTTGCGAATTGCCCTCGTCAAAATAATGGGTTTGTAACCAGATTTGTAGTGAGTATTTTTGGTGGGTGATTATAAATAATTCGTCGGTGAATTTTAGATTTATGATGCAGTTTTTATTTCATACCATAAAAACTTGTCAATATTGTTATTGTTCATGTCTCATCTTTGTTTTTGTTTATGCCTTATTTTTTTAATAAGAATTGTAAAAGAATTGAACACAAACAGAAACTGTAGAAACAAAGCGAATATTCTAACGCATGGCAAGTAGTTTAAATCGTGCTGCGCTTAGGGAGGATACAACAGCGTTCCGAAACTAAAAATGAATAACTAATTATCGACTTACGAATGAATATTCGGAATAATATGTAAACCCAAAAATGGCGGTGAAAAAGTTGCCTAAAAAAGGGAATGAAGACACTATTTAAAACGTTTGGCAATTCGCTTCGACAATAATAGTTTGTATTGTTTATGGTAAAGTTTATACAATGTTATTAGAGTTGCAAGAAATTGAAATAAAAAATAAGGAAGATATTGGGAGAAAGAAGTAGAATATTCAAAAACAAGTGTGTTCCATAAAAGTTCGATTTATGTTCACATTGTGGCTTTTTATAATTTAAATTATTACCGATATAAACATAATTTGGTGGAGATTATTGTTTATATATATTAGACATATTATATGCACTAAATATGCATCGTAAATCTGAAATCAGATTCACAGACACATATATGGGATGCATATATTAATCGGAGCTGATTGTAACAAGTTAAATGAGCATTACTGCCAAATTTTAATTAGAACGTTACACGTCTTCCACATTTTGGTCTAACATTTCAACCCTCAAAGGAGCCACAAATCCAATCGATCGAATTGGGAAAAAGTGATATTTTTTGTCAGAAATAAAGAACCCTTTTTAATTGAAAAATATATGCTATTTTTGATAGTAAATACTAAGTATAAATATTTTTTTGGTCAGAGAATGACTACGAAATTTCATCTAGAATAATCCTTACTTTGACATTTTCTCCAAAAAATCTATCTTCTAAATCTATAAAAGAGGAAAATGTTTGCACGTTTGATTGATTGTTTGTAATTTATGGACTCGAAAACCGCTGAACAGATTTCCTAAAAAATTCCATACCTACTGCAGCATCACCTGAAAGTAACATAGGCTATAAAATTGATTTAATTTCCACTTGGAATTGGCGATATAGCATCCGAATCGGAGGTACCTCCAGAAAATTTTGTTTTTGAATGCACATATCTATTGAACGGTTATAGATACAGTCTCCAAATTTAGAATGTTCAACGGAACAAAAATAAATTTGACAAATGATATTCAAATCGTTTTAGATTTGGGAGCTATACCCAATACCCATATATATTTTCGACCGATTTTTCATATTTAATGCACCAAATACGATGTGTATGTCCGATTCCAATGAAATTCAGAGTGAGTGACGAAATTTACTAAAATAAATAATTACGTACGAAAATACACTAACCAAATTATATTGAAAACGGTTCGGATTTCAATATAGCTCCCATATATATTTTCGATCGATTTCGTTTATTTGATGCACCAAACACGATATGTATGTTCGATTCCAATAAAAATTGGAATGAGTGCCGGAATTTGATCAGAAAATAATTTTGCCAAATTATATTGAAATCGGTTCAGATTTGGATATCTCAAATATTTAATGCACTATATGTTTGTCCGATTCCAATTAAATTTGGAATGACTGGCGAAATTTGGTACAAAACTAAATTTGCGAAAATTATATTGAAATCGGTTCAGATTTAGTTATATCTCTCATATATATTTTCGACCGATTTCGTTTATTTGATGCATAAAACACGATATGTATGATCGATTTCAATGAAATTTGGAATGAGTGACGGAATTTGGTAAACAAATAAATTTGCGAATTTTTTTGGAAATTAGTTGAGGCTTGGATATAGCTTCCATATATTTACAACAAACACCAAAACCAATTTTAATGAAATTAGGAATTTATGGAAGAGTTTGGTCTAAACATAAATTTGTTCAAATTATGTAGAAATTGGCCCTGATATTAAACAAAAACAAGTGAAAAAGCAGCAAAGTTCGGCCGGACAGAACTCTAAATACACTCCTCCATTTTAAATGACCTTGAAAAATTAAAAAAAAATCCGTAGAAAAATTAAACCCATTTTATGGGGGCAATACGAAGACGTGGTCCTTCATAAGTAGTTTTTTTTTGTCACAGGCTGTTGTACTGATTCCGACATTCAAATAGGAGTTTTGAAACAATTGCAGTGAATAAGACGTAGGCCTGCATAGTCAATTTTCAGTCATAGACTGTAATATCAATTTCGAATTTCAAATACGAAATTTGAAACAATTCCGGTGAAAAATGTCGCTAAAAACATAAAAATACCGAATATAGGGAGGTACCGTTTTGTGGGGGCTATACGAAAACTTGGACCGGCATATCTTATTTACGAACTTAACTTCTGCTGTCAAAATACACATGTGTCTATACGACGAATATTTAGGCATGTCACAAAGGAAATTACAGAGTTAAAAGCCCTCCTTTAATTAAATTGTTTGAACTAATTTTTTTCCATTTCGTTACATTCTAATACACCTACAATTGCGGCATAAACACACCATTTTAATACACTTTACCCAAACAAACATTCCCCGGTAGAACTGAAAAATTAGTCTTCTTTAATGTTCAACCTCCCCCACACCCAGTATTCTCAGATGGTGCTTGATTTTTGAATAATAAGTGTTTGTGTGTATGAGCATTGTTTGTTTGTCAGCGTGTATGCAAGTGTACGGCGGAATGGTGTGCAAATGATATTCAACATTTCACCATTGATTGGTGATGTTGTTCGCAATTGAAAAAAAACGACACAAACAAACACAAGTTGCGGAAGAAAAATCGTGTCAGTGAAAACACAGAAATTTCCCTCCCAAATACGCACACACACACACACATACATTGCCACTCAGATGTCAGTTTTCCATGCTATAGTTCTGCCACGAACTACGCCACGAGGAAATGAGAAAGCGTGGTGAATTTTCTGCCAAACTCACACACACCGTTGCACAAAAAAGCATCTTTCCGAGTGGCAGATGAACCTGCATAAGATGCCTCTCGTAGCTTTTCACCTCAGTAACACTTGTTCCTTGAGACAAAGGTGGTCGTGAAATATAGTCGAGCGGGTAAAACGAGCGTTGCGAACGACATGAGGAAATTGCTTTAAAAGCGAACGAACGCGTGTACATAGTGTGCCTTTAGCCAGCATAAACAAACAAAGCCAAAGACCAGATAAGCAGGAGGGAACAGAGAGACGAAGGGTCATACTGACTGAGTAGCGGACAGACAGACAGACAGACATCGGTATCGGCCACAGTATATGGTGTAGTGTTTATTTTCAGATTTTTCAGAAAATCTGATTCAAACAGCATCACAAGAATTTTGAAAAAATTTTCTTTGGGTACGGTACACATGGCATAATGTTTTGATGTATTTTGGGGGGAACACGTTCCGTTCCGTTTCGATGGGGTTTTTGTTTGTTTATTAGATTTTGTTGTTGTGTCTATGAATTTTTCTAAAACAAAAATTTAAAAATTGAAAAATGATTTTGTCGAATGCTGTCATGTAAATTCACTCATCTGTGTATTATGATTTTGATTTTGCCCACAATTATTGTTTGCCGAATCACATTTCGCACATCCTGCCGCTTAAGTTTATGTAACAGAGCAAGGATTTGAATGCACGTCACACTGACAGACTGACAGACAAACGAAATTGACTATTGTTTGGCTCAAACGTTTTGATGTTTGTTTTCATAGCTTTCGTTTTTTCTTTCTTGGTGGTCTGTGTCTCTCTCTCTGTGTGTGTGTGTGTGTGTTATTTTCAGTTGGATTCCGTGACTGGGAAGGTTCAAAGAAACTGCCGTAAAGATGAAAATGTCATTCTCAATTCCTGTCTGGAAATATGCTCTGCTAACCTTGAGCATTGTAATTTCGGTAAGTAAAACGAGAACACCGCCAAACATATCAAGTTTACTAGGCCTCCGAGAGTGTTCCACAAAAACAAAGTGGGGCAGCAACAAAACCAGCAATGCCATCAGCAAAACATTCGCGTTGTCATTCGGTGTCAAAGTAAAGAAGAAGGCCAAACTAGTCAAACAAAAACACAGTTGTAAAGTGACCCTGAATTTCAAAACATGCACGAGGATGGATGTGCGACACCAATACATATGTACACACACACACCTATGTATATACTCACCATACACCCAGCACATGTCCTTATGTACTTGACTCTCGTTCCATGTCCATGTGCGTTACCTGCAAAAAGCAAAAAAAAAAAAAAAACAAGGAAAACACACGAACGCCCAAACTAAAAATAAACTCAGAAGCAGGTCAAATTGGAATTTTCATTTCACCTTCCGGAGGTTGCTTTTAAGTTATTCATATAATGTGTCAGATTTTATTATGTGAAGTGTGTGTGTGTGAGAGTGTGTTTGTGTCTCGGTGCAACATATCCGTCAACAAAGTTGAGAACAAAACGACGCGTTCCAGAATGTGTAAACAAGATAGTAGCCAGCCATTCTCTGCTACTTGTCATGGCAAATGAGTTGGTTAAAAATTAATTGAGTTTTTTTGTAGAAAGTTGTTTAAGTTTTTGAATGAATGATTTAAAGATTAGTAATTTCATGAAAAAGTGGTTAACTTATTGATAAATTTCGGTAATAACCGAAATTATGGACCATTAAGATTCGTAACTCATCGACATAATCATTTAAGCCCCGACTCTAACCTTTGTAGGGATCGATCGAGATGGCTAAATGTTTGTTGTATTTTGGGATTGAAGATCGGGTATATCGGTTCACGTTTAAGCCCCATATGACAGTACGTAAAGATCTTCGATATTATTATGATTTTCAACACATTTTCTAACGAAATTGTTTTAACGTTGGTGGTTAAAGATCTCAATGGAAGATCCTATGCCGGAACATGGGTACCACCTCCAATGACAAAAAATTGGCTAAATAGAACTACCATGTGGCATAATCTCTATGTTACCGAAACTCTATATATTTGATATTTAAAATATTTAAGCCGCCTTTTTATACCCCATGCTGGGGGTATTAATAGTATGATTGGGCCAAAAAGTTTGTAATAACTCGAAATATTGGTTCTAAACCCATGATGTCATATATCGATATTTATATCTCGCCGAGATGAGTCGATAAAAGGTTGTCATCAAATGTTACAGGGAGTTAGATTTAGGCTCCGAATGGAAAACCTACTTATTTTGAGGATGGCATAGGTAAAAACCAGAAATTTTTGCTGATCTTGCAATAGCCCTGTTTGCATGGGTTTAGACTTTAGGATCAATTAGAAGCCTAACATTTTGGATGGTCAACTGATAATTTGTTACGGGTGAAATTAATTATAACTCTTGCGTGAGAAGTCAACAGTTTAATTTTCAAAGGTAGAGTTAAATGGATAATCTAATCCTTACAATTAAGATCATTAAGATCCCTTACACTTAAGATCAGTCGGGTCTTGATTAAAAAAAACTTATAATACTGTTATTTAAATTGGCGAATGTTGTTTTATCAATGTATAATTTGTATCTTTTAAAATTTAAAACAAGTTTTATAACCCTTTCCAAGTTCGTACAATTATTTTTATACCCTCAGACATATGGCTACAGAAGGTATATATCATTTGATACGGTCAAAACGTGTCTCATCGAAAGACCCTAAGTCTATTTGGACCAAACACGTTTCAGGACATTTGGAGTCGATCTAAGGGTGTCCGTCCGTCAGTCTGTCTGGCTGGTGCGCACGATAACTCTCGAAGGGAGCATCCTATTTTGCTTAAACTTGGTACATCATAATATTTTTGCCAAACTTAGATCGAGTTCAGAGATGAGCAACGTCTGTTAACTTCTTCTGGTACCTCCCCACAGGGGGTCAGCTCGTAAAACACGAAATTAACATCCGATTCCTTTCAAACTAGCAGCACTTCAATATTTCTATTAACACAAGATCTTTGGTGAAGACAGTATATATCGGCCCACTCATTGTAACTCTCCCACAGAGTCAAACTGTTAACTAAAACGATCATGAAATGCGAAATAAGCAACGGATTATCTTTAGAATTTACAGATGTCAATATTTTTGGTAAACCAATATCTGGTGTGAAGGTGGAACATGTAGGACCATTCCTTCTGGTACCTTCCCAACAACGGGTCAAAATTTTGAACAACCGAAACTCACATAAAATGCGAAATAAGTATGGGAATGATTCTGAGCATCTCACATTCAAATTTTTTCACTAACACAAGATCTGGTGTGAAGATGGAATACATCGAATTACTACTTCTTATAGTTTCCTCACAAAGGGTCAAATTTTTAAATAACTATATATCTTATAACAGACGAAATAAATCAGCGATTCTTTTCAAACCGGAGATTTAATGTGAATATGGAATTTATCGGTCCACTCAAATGTTGATCCCTTGTGAGAGAGGTACCAAAAGCTCTCTCGCAAGGGGTCAATATTTTGAATAATTATAACCCTTAAGAAATGCGAAACAAGTCAGGGATTTTCATCAAACTTCATGTATACCATTATTTTTGTTAACCATAGATCTAATGGATTTGACTAACAATGATTCCTATAGAATGGTAAATAAGTGTTAAATTTTCCTTAAATTTTGCACATCCCAATATTTTGTCAGTATTAGATGAAGTGGAATACTTCGATCCACTGTATATGGCACATCGCTCATATTTAAACATTTTCCAAAAATTATCATATATTTCATATAAAATAGCAACTTGTAATATTTATATCAGACTATGGTCAGATACCAAATGGACAATATTGGCCAATCCTTTCGGAACCACTCTCCTTAAAGGGTTAAAAGCTTGAATAATCGTAATGCAAGTCAATTTATATGTAAACAAAAGACATACACTCAGCGTAGGAAACTGTCAGCAAAACCGATCTATACTTTTTAACTTGTTGTATACCTTGCAATTTATAATATTTTATCAAAACAGGATGGAATTAAAAGGTAACAATATCAGTCCACTCTATATGTTATCTCCCCTACAATCGGTATAAAAGGTAAAAAATCATACATCGTAACGAAGGCAGTTGAAACTTTCTATTTATTCGGTATAGCCAACAGATGTATACCCTCAGTCAATATTTTTTGACTTCTGTTCTGATTATTGAAATTGTTGACCCCATATGAAGTAGGTTCCGCAGGAATGGCCCAATATCGTCCATTTCTCATCGAACCTTAATAAATGTGATATAGATATTGCGGCGTGCCAGGTTTGGACTATATTGCTTACTTCCTTCACTTCATATGAGATATATGATAATTGTTGGAAAATATTAAAATGTGTGTAAGGTACCAGATATTGTCGATCGAAGTATTCCATTTCCATACATCATCTAATGCAGATACAAATATTGGTATGGGCAAAATTACAAGAAAATCGAACATTAATATCAAATTTTATGCGATATCATAAACTCCATTCATTCCAGGTTTCTGGGTAAGAGAAATATTTTGATATAGGAAGTTGTAAAGAAGCGCTGACCTCTCCATGTTAGGGTTTAAATGTTTGTTTGTGTGCCTTTGTGGGTGAGGTACCAGAAGAGTGGACCGATGTATCCCTTCTAGATCTTGTGTTAGTTGAAAAAAATGGGGTGTGTGAAATATGAAATCTGAATCGAATCAGATGTTAATCCTTTGATCCTTTGTGTGGGAGGTACTTGATGGAGTGCACCGATATTGTTTATTTTCGCTCTTGACTTAGCATTGATGCAAATATTACGATTTACTAAATTGGATTATCCTATATCTTCCTGCGCAGTAAAATATGTTTTTGAAAATTTCGACTTTTTGTGGGGGAGGTACCGGGAGGAGTAGACCGATATTGCCCATCTCCGAAATCGATCTAAGTTTGACAATAATACTACGATGCACCAAGTTTGAATCAAATCAGACAAACTGACGTAAGGACATCGCTAAATCGACAAAAATGTAACTAAGTCCCCAACTGATATCGATCCACTCTCCATGGGTCTCCATAAATGATAAAAATTTAAATATTATCAATCTAAACAAAAATTTAAATTTCATATATATAATAATAATTAGGCTTAATCTCATTATTGTTGTTTTTATAAGAGCAACGCTTGTTTATTAGTGAAAAAGGTGATAATGTTTCCCTGCCTTACCCTCTGGTAAACATTTACAAAGACATTTTTGGGTCTTTGACGTTTATTAGTTATTAAAAAAACAATGAGTTGATATGTTGAGTTATGCCTTTAGAGATATGCAAATGGAACTTTGTCATATATGTACCTGTTATTCATCCTGAGTTGCGTTTTCCAAAAAGTTTTGTAATGAATTTAATTTTATTTTAATGAATTTTATTATCTTTGTCCAATTACGTCCACTGTAAAGTTATTTAGATTTAAAACAGAGAAAATTATTATTGCAGTAGTTTTGTGGTATAATTATATGTTTATATTGCCACATAAATTACTACAATATAAATTCCATCAAAAATTTCCTCGAAATATTTGGGTATATATGTATTCAACTACAAATAGGATAAACATGATACAAAAACGCATGTACACATACCAATAGCAGGGAAGTTTAAATTTCAATTTAATTGTACATCTAGATTCTCGGCAGTATTTCACTTTAGTTTATTTTAAACAAAAAAACAAATCCAGAAATAAATTAAAATAAAACTCTGGTACATTTACACATTTTGTGTTTTTGCATTTCGTCAGACAGAATAGAGAAGCAAGGAACGACGAAAATTATTGCATTTTAACGACACAAATCTCAATTTATGATTTCGCTGCACGAGCTGATATAGTGTATAGTCTGACAGGCCATTTGACCGTTTACTGTAAAATGGGTTAAACATTACAAAAATAAACAAAATACATATACTGAATTACATATTAAATATCAGTTGCAAATGTATTGCCGGTAATACAATTTTATCGTCTTGTAGTTGAGGAAATCCAATTAAAATCAATGGTGTATGATTAATACGAACTCCATTAAAGTACTACTCATAACACCTATGCGTATCGATAACGATATACAACGATTTCGTACATTACCGCAATCTTTTAGAAGCAATCTCTTGAATATAGGTGACAATTTCATTATGCCTGTCTCTGTTTGAGTATACGAAAATAAACTTTAAAGTAAAACACTATATTCTACGAGTATAAAATTATTTATTAATAAAAATTAATGACTGCTTTACTCTGCGCTCACTTCC